TCTAGCTCCAGCAGTTTTGTGAAAGTACATGTGCCAGAAGAGACACCAAAACAGCTCTGTGAATCTGGGAAACCTCATGGACATCCATGGAATGAAACATTGCTTGTAGCTTGCCACAATCCTCCAGGTGTGTGCCTGTCAAGCCTTAGTCAAAGAGCTCATGTAGGCTGGGTAAACCAAAGCTAAGCTTACATCTAGCAGTGTTTTTGTGAGCCAAAGTAAATAAGCCACTGCAAAGACCACAATGATTCCGGCAGGAGAGGCGGCAGGGCTGAGCTGAGCTCAGGCCTTTCCAGGTTGTGTCCAAAGTCCTGCTCCGCTGCTACGTGGCTCCCTGCAGCCATCCAGGTTCACTGGCATGAGAAGATCCAGCTAATCTGTGCTACGGCCTCAACTCTATAAGTCACGAATGCGAAAAATGTGATCTGATCAGGCTCTCACTAAAGCATTAAGGCAGCATTTCACCGTGTGTATAACCTATGTCACTGAGGTGCCATTTGTTGGAGGAGTGCATCAGTTACGCTCCCAGAAACTAACATTAATTCTGGGCAAATATCACACACACTGGCTTATAAGAGGTGATTCAGTGGAAGGGACTGATTGCTCTGCATGGGTAGGTTACAGGATAATCCTGTGCTTGTAGAATGGCACAGCTAAAATTGTGAGTTCTTGGAAGAAACTTTCTCATTGCTTCAAATCTGCAAAAAGTTCATCATTAAAGGTTAGTCTGCAGGCCAGCATCACGTGAATGATACTGAGCTAAACAAGACGGCAAGTACAGCAGAAGAACACAAGCACAAAATTTAGTATCATCAAGCCCTAGTGTAGGCAGGGACATCTTTTATTCTCAAGGGGAAGGGTGCTAAAAGCCAACTGTTAACAGTAGTGGCAAATTAGACTCAAACAGCCAGAGCACAGCCCAGGTGCAGCAGCCCGGGTGATTCGGAGAGATAAGTCTGCAAGACAGCTGCATTTGCATCAACACTACAGAAGCAGAACAAAAATACTCTGTTGTTGAACAGGAAACACTGCACATGCTTTTGTCTGGGTAACTGAGAACTCCAGCTTTGGGAATGTGAACTTACCTGGCAGGCTGATCACCGTGGGCTGACAGGTTTTTTTGGTTTTTTTCCCTCTCTCTCAAATCTAAGAAAGGCCTCAGGTGAGCTGGAATGCACACCACACACCAGCCAGATGCTCGTTGTCCTTGCAGTGAGAGATGCATCTAAGCCAGGAGGTGATAAGATGTGAATGGCTTCCCTCGCTTAATTCTGCCAATAGCTCCATGGACAGTGACGATGCTGAAATGGAAGAAGCTGACCCTAGTGCTACGTATACATCCAGTTCACCACAGCCTTCAGATTAGGTTGTATCTGCCTAGCCAGCAGCCCAAGACTGCCAGGCATATTTTTATCCACATGCTTTCTTCTTTCATTGCATCTCTGACGGATTATTTTATGTACTACTACATGTCTAAGTGCAAAATGCAGATCTAGACTAGGATCCATATTTTTGCAAAGCTACTTCAGGGTTTCAGCTGGAGGGTCTGGCCTGGCTCAGCATGAAGACATGGGTCAGTGGCAAGGATTAGATGCAGAGCCTGGCTGTGAGCTTTTACTGCTGCCCCTTCACTGCCACGGAGAGAGTAATACCCATCTGCTGAAAGGTCTCGCTGAACAGCAGCCCTGTTTGTTCAACACGCTCAAGGCATCGAGTGGGAATTTCTCCAAGCCTACAAAGGCTGCCCACAGAGGCAGGCTCACAGATCGAGAACGCCCTAGGGTCCTCAAGCACCAGTGCCCAGATTCATGACAAAACCAACCGCAGCATTATCAGAGCATGCCGCTATCTGATCTCAGCTATAAAAACCTTGCTACAAACCTAGCCGTATTTCTGAAGCAGTAGCTACAACGTGCTATTATTAAATTCAATTAAGTAGTATACTTGCTAAAGTGTGCCCACCCAGAGCTCTGCACACATTAATAACATCAGTTGCTTCAAGCAATTACTTAGTGTTACACCCCTCACTATTGAGGTTATTTCCACAATAGTAATTAAATCCTCATCAACAATTTTCAATTATAAAGTAAATCAAATGTAATAGCCTACACAAGGCTTACCTAATCTTACCTAAACATAGACAACCTAATTCTCTACAATCCTGAGATCAACAGAGAGAAGGGGTCAATCAGACTGCTGAAGACTGCTTGCAAACCTCTGGTTTAACCACTGACTGTAGCCCATGAGCAGAAATACCAATTGCCCAGCAGGCAGAAGCATAAGGCTGAGTCGGTCATTGGGCACACAATTAATTTTCCCTGTTAATTACCTGCTAATTTCTTGAATGTCTCCTCCCCAGAGTGCCCTCTGGCCCTACATGAAGGTACTCTGCACAGGGAACCTGATGACTGAAGTCTTCTGAACTTTTCTGCCATTTTCGTTTCGTTCAACAAAGCTTGAGGAGCAGTTGTTCACACACAACTGCTCAGCACACACCATCTTCAGCCAGCAAATCTCTCTGAAGAAACCTAGCACAGGTGAGCACTGTATCTTCTCACTGCACTGACTTTTTACAGCCTGAGACATCTACCATCCAACACCAGCTGAGAGCCTTGCCTGCAAATTGCACCTCCTGTAACTCTCACCTGAAGGACACCAAGCCCCTTTGCCCAAGGGCCCTTCAGGATGGGGAGGAATTTGCCCCCAGTTGCGCTCACCCCTGGGGAGATCCCTTCTGCCCAGCCCTTCTGCAGTGTTAACGCCTCCACCCGCTCTGATTTCCCTTACTGCAAACCAGTCCCATCGGTCTGACAATGAAACCACCAGTGCCATGGGCCATGGCTATATTTCAAGGTGGGGGGGGAAAGTCATTCATAAATCCTTTCTTACTCTGGAAATCAACTGGGTTTCTCCTCTTGGAGCTACTAACACAGGCAGAACTACTGCCACTCCCAACTCCCCAGCCCCAGCGCTCCTCTGAACTTCCCCCAACTCTCTACCACACGAATCAACGCAAAGGCAGACCTGGCAAGCCTCTCCAGCCCCCACCAGCCAAGTCCTCTGCTGCGCCATCAGGCCGTGAGATCCTCATCTCAAGGGCTGGCCCAAGAGCAGCTGCCTGTATGTTCCCAGTGAGATGGGCTTCTCAAGTGACCACTCGTGCTTAGCTGCAGGGTGAGAGATATCTCCTGTATGGCTGTGAAGCATTTCTACGAGCAACATGGAGTGACCTTGCTTTGTGTTGCTCATTTTTCTCTAGGCTTGCGAGGTTTGGCGATACTGTTCAGATAAGCATCCTCAAGTTTGCATGCTTATCTCAACCATCTCCCAAACGGCTTTGATCTGCAGGATTTGGCTGGAGCTCTCAAAATTATCTTGAGAAAGCTTGTTCTTGGGAGACTCTTTCTTCTGATGAACAAGAAAAAGCTTTCTTAGCGGCTTTGAGCAATTTTAGCCCTGGCTGGAATCAGGGAGCATAGCAATGTGTGCAAACAGCAAAAATAAAAAAGTTAGAACTTCTTCTTAAAGCTTCTCTTGGGATCAGTTGTCATTTCAGCCAAAATTTGAGGTCAATTATCATTTCAACTGAGTTCTAACGTGGCATCTTTCTTCTTTTTTCCCACTCTCCGTTCAAGTGTGTCTCACGCAGCCTACCACCGAGTAGGTCAATATATGCGCTGTTTGTAAATAAGGATTTACACTCGGTGTTTACATGTGGCTTTACATGCTCCCAATTCTATGCAAAACACGTGCGAGGAAAATGGGCTGTACTGATGAGGAAACCGAATCAGAGAACAGCCAGGAGAATTACTGAGGGCAAGGAGGGAAGGAATTTTGTTTGGGGAGTTCTTTCAGTCCAGGGTGAGTTTTAAAAGATACCATATTAAATCACGTTGCCTTCACTGAAACAAATAGCCCCTCCCAAAAACTCCAGTGAAGGAAACACAAGCCATGTATAAGTACACGTTAATCGAGTCATATGCTAATTTTCCAGTTTACCTTCTCCTCGGCCAAAGCTTTAGGAAATATTTGTTGGACTGAGAAGCGTCAAATTTAACTCCTGCTCTTGAAACATTTCAGCCTGTATTTCCCCACTCTCAGCCCATCACCCCACATAAAAAGATTCGTTTCTTTTGGGAACAATTAGGGAGCAGAAAGAAGATGGCATTGTGGAAAAGGAGGAATTACAGAGTTAGCAATGAAATTTGCCGTAGGGAAACTACTCCAAACATAGCCTGCTGCCCTCACCTAAAAGAGAAACGGTCGTTAAAAAATACTATTCAGCGAGGGGAAAGAAGTGTGAACAGCAAAAATATGTACATATGTTTTAAATAATTTTTTTAATTGTTGAGGCAGTAATACTTGGTTCATGGAACTGCAATATACAGAGAGGTGAAATAAATAGCTTATATATATATAATATATATAATATAGCTGGTTTTAAAATATTCCCTTATCATTGGTGTACTAGGTCATTTCGTAGTCACTTGAATGTATTTAGCAGCATTCTCCAGAACTGAGCATAATGCAGGATCACAGAGCCGTGACACCTTATGTCGTCAAAAAGGTTACAGAAGATCGATGCGTTGAGAACTCCACGGAAACTCAATCACTGCGGCACACACCATCTTGTCTCGGTCCAGCTTGCAGCAGACAATAAATAGATTACTGCAAAACTGGCAATTTTCAGGGCAGGGTCTCAGTAACTTTGGGAAAGAACTTTGGTTTTCTTTGGTTTTATTTATTTATTTTTAATAATTACTTTTTCCTCTGGGGATATGCTTGAAAAGTTGTCCTTTCCAAAAAGAGAAATAAGCACCTGTGTGTCATCAACAACAAGAAGTCAATTTAAATAGAGCAGTTCATTTTGTTTTTCAAGTCACAATAAATCCCTAACAGCTTTTCCCCAGCGTTTGCCATCTAGTCTTTTATTAATTTTTTTTATTTTTATTTTTTTTTAAACACAATGTACAAAAATAGAACTTCTTCCTTATTTTTAATGTAAAAATATTCCTCTGGTGCAGTTTTTTTTTTTGTGGTTTATTATTGTGACACTGTTTTTGTCTATTTTTAACTGGGGTTGGTGGGTCGTATTCTCTTAGTCCTCTTGGTGACTGTTGTGTACTTGAAAGGTTTCTGTATCTCCACTTGACCCTTTGGGTACCTCTTCATAAAATGTACATCTTGCTGGTTTTCCCGGGTCTTGGGCCCTTTTCGTGGCCTTCCTTTTTTGGTGAATCCAACATACCAGCCTGAATATTTTGCTGACATCAGTGCCGTATAGTTGTTTTCTAGGACTTTTTCAATGAAGACACACTCCTTACTGGTGCCATCAGGCTGAAAAAGGGAAAAGAAAATCCATTATCCAAATGTAAACCCAACGACCAACACCCAACTTGGCATAAATACAATCATCCCATCTGGACCTGGCTTTTGGCTCAAACATCTTAATAGGAGCAGAAGGAAACATCAACTGAAATAGAAATGATAAGTGTGAGAGCATCATTCAACTTTTTTCATACGCTCCTATCGAAGGAAGACAGAAAGATTTTTCCAAGGCAAACGCCGGTAGGTGTCCAGCTCCTTCAGTTGCAAGAAAAGTAAGATGTTTAGCTTTGCATTTTCCATTAGAAAGGAGGACGAAGTGAATTTGTTCCAAGGAAGCATCATATTTACAACGGAAGAAAATCAGAATCCCAAATGGGCCAGACAACAGCACTTCCACTTTACTGCTCACTTTTGAGATATTTTCCAAAATACCTTTTGGCCTTCTGTGCATATCTCCAAATCCCACCAAAATCACTATAAGCCTTAGTCTAAGCCTTTGGGGTGCTTTGGAAACACTCTCCCTCAGTTTCCAAGGTGCCACGTAGGGGCCAGGCAAGTTAACACTGCACGAGGAGCCAGGACAAGCAGACTCGTCCAAGCGATGGATGAGTGCTCGAAGCATCCACGGGTGCTAAGGACCTCAAATTTCCTGGTGAGTTCCTGGGACCGTGGAGGGTCCCCAAACACAGCCAGCTCTTTAGGAGTGGTGGCCGTGCAGCCAGAGGTGCTAACGCAAGCACGGAAGATCCTGACTTTAAGCCTCTGCTTTTTCAGGGCTGCTTTTTGTTTGGAGGGGGTTTCGTTCCTGGTGGCAGAGGAGAAATAATCCTTCCCCTTTCCCCACCTTTCAGTCCTGGCCTACAAGCAGACACCCAGAGGAACTGGCTTAGGAAAACACGTCTCTACATGACTTTCCTCCTCACAGAGGGAGCAGTCTCATGTAAACCCATCTCCTCTGCTAGTGCCAACGCCACGGACCGCTGAAGCGGCAGCGCTCAGCTCGCCAAGCACTCCCTGCTCGGAGATTTCAGCAAAAAGGCTTCAGCTGAAAGATGTAGACTTTTAATCAGACACAGAAGGGGATTTTGAACATAGCTCTCACTTAATACACTGGGCTCTCACTTATGCAGCACAGGCAGCACTGGAGGGAGTCGCAGCATCACACAATAGCACATTTAGGTTGCTCGGCACAGGGGAAATTCTTCTCACCTACAATCTTCTGCCAGAAAATATGTTTTGTACTTTAACTGCTGACTTACTGGTCCCGTACCTAGAACGTATCGCTTGCTGAGTGCCTCCTGTGCACCAGGCCTCGGCTGTGCAAGTCAAGAGACATTAAGGAGGAGGCACGTGCTCATTTCAGCCCCCGGATACTGTCGCAGCTCTGGGCGCTTTACAGATTCTGGACAGCGATAAACACAAGGTGGAACATTATACAGCATTTAATCTAACGCTTAGCAAAGCCAAAGGAAGGATTTCCACTGTAGTATCAGTCCAATCCAACTCTCACTGAAGACAAACACGAGGTTTTTAATGTACTGCAGGCCTATATTTACTTTTGCTATTAAACGCACGCCCTCCCTGTGTGAACAAAACGGCGTCAGACCCTTTCAATCCTCAGCTTTTGCACCCATCCTATGTCTGAGGGGAACAGAAAAAGAACAGACAATTAAGCAGCAGCGTATTCGCAGCAAACCGTAGCGGTGGTTAGCAGCAAGCTTCAGCGGCTCCCGCAGGGCCCGCTCCGGGCACGGCTGATGGGGGCTGCGGGAGCCCACTGCCCGGCTTTACCGCCCTTTCTGCCACGAGCGACAGCGCTCTGAGCCAGGCTAGGCCAGCCACAGCAAAGCTAGCACTCTTGCTCTTTTCTAAAAACCTTTTTAGAAAGTCCTGCAAAATCACAGCAGAGCTTGGTACGGCTCAAGAGCCCGAGCGTGGGAACAGCGGGACATTGCCGGTCAGGAACACCACCGAGCCATCTGAGCTGGCTCCGGCCTCATGGCACCTGCAGTCCTCAAGTAACCACGGATGAGCTATAAAAGCGGCCGCGAGACAGGAACCATCAGGCACAATAACCCAGGCCGGATTCCCCTCATCCTCAACCTCCAAAACCAGCCACCCCTGCCTGGTTTAATACTTTAGCAGACCTCCAACTCAATCAATGCAATAACGTGTGACATTAAGCCTACAATCATTAGCGTACTACCCTGTCAGAAGGGGTTGTTATTACACATAGGTCTCATTAATAAGGCGGCAGCAAACAAGACAGAGTGGTAGCACCAGGCAAGAGAGTTGAAAGAAGGTGCAGGGTTGCATCCTTTCTCAACCAACATGCCGAATCCACCGTCCGCACAACCTCCATCCCTGCTTAGGCACAAAGGTCCTAGTTTTGTCATCCACAATCTGAAGCTCACAAATGCTTTAATGAATGGCAGGACTGGGCAAAGCTGAGTGGTCTCGGTTCCTGGGGGGGTCATTCTCCGAGTCCTGGGTTTGATCAAAGCCACATGAGCGGAGAAGGGGGAAATCAGTTGACACCACAGGGTTCCACCAGGTTTCAATGCGAGGCCATAAAAACCGCCCCAGGTTTCTCAGGGCTCAGCCCGCTACAAACCTTTCACCAATAAATGGAGAATTTTTAAACAATACCATGGCTGGGTTTCAAATCCACCCAAAACCAGGTGCTGATGAACCGACCAAATTTGTACTGCAGGGGTAGCAGGTAATTGGAACGGTCATTTCCCTTGTACTTGCAGAAAGGTCCTGGATTTGAGCCACGACTTTGTTGCTAGGAGAATTTAGGCATTTTCACGCAGTTTGGGAGGTTTCCGCTTGCACTGCAATGTCAGTTTCTCATGGAAAACGAAGACTGGAATTAAAAGAAAATGTGTGTGTAGGAGGGGGAAGTTATTCTATTAATAACAAAAAAGTATTTACTTATACCTTCAAATTTGCCGACAGAGCCTAAGACGGAGACAGGAGGTGTAGGAATAACAAGGTGCAACTCCAGGCCAACCTCAGGGCTAATTTGAAGTAAACAAGGCGCATGAGATAAAATAACATCGTTCTGGAAGAGGAAGAGCTAAACAACTTGATAACATGAAATTACAGTAACATTCACAAGTACTTCAAGATAAATCAGGATAAGGACCTTGCTCTTCCCCAAACAGAGAGACAGTCAAATGGTTTTCAAATACTTACAATATGATTTTAGAGCATCTGTTATAAAACCCAGTAGAACATAAATCGTTCACAGACACTACCTCCACCACGGAGAGCTGGACTCCAGACAGTCTATTAGGGGAAAAATGCAATTTATATCAGTAATTTCTAAGTGTCACCTTGTTTCCACTGGGTGCCAATCATTTAAGGTCTAATCATGTTCCTATTTAAAAGCAACAGCAAAAAAAAAACTCCTTGGGCCTGTCTCCTCACCCTCTTTGCCCTCAAAGAGAGGGCAGGATGGATGAGAAAAGGGACATGACCCTCCCCAGGTCCAGGGCAGAGCTGGCTTTCCTAACGTAAAGAAAATACCTATACTCCCTGCTCCAGCCGCCTGCTCACCTTTTCCCAAGAGTTTTTAGTGCTAACATTTGCCGCCGATACAGGTACCCTCTCACGCGGACATCAGCAGTGGGACCTTGTCAAGTTACATTTCATATACGCTTAGCTGTCAGGATGCACCTCGCAGAGTACGCTCCCTTCCAAACGTAGACTTTTACAGTTTGAAACGATGCTTTAAAATAAGCAAGAATACTTGAAAACACAGGAGGCAGTGGGAACCGCCTGACCCCAGCGTGGTGGCACTGCCGAGCAAAGCAGGAGCACTGTCCATAGCTCCAATTCCCAACTAGCTCCACAGGACAGGATTGCGGCATGGGCTTTGCGACACAAGGGCATCAAACTGTGCTAGGACTCAGAACAGGTAAAAATCAGGGAGAGAAACTCAGCCTGCAAAGTTGCAGCTGAAATCTTGCCCCAAGTCAAGCTGAATTAGAAATAGTCAGCTTTTTGCAAGTGCTGTACCCCATAACGTGTCCTCCCATCAGACGGCTCCAGGGCTACTTCAATCCTCCCTGTCCAAATGTGGGCAGGGCAGTAGCACTGCTGTTGCCTCCATGCACGTGCTAGGCAAGGAGAGCTGGAGGACAATGTGGTCGCCGTGGCACTCAGGAAGCAAGACCCCCGCCGTGCCCCAAGCTCTCTTCAATTCATCAACTCCTATAACTCCAGCAAGAGCTGGAAGTCACTGCCGGCTGCAAGCAAGATCCCACTGGTGGGACAACCTGCGTCACACTGCTCTTGGAGAAGCACCTACTCGTGCCAAACAAAGTCCCTCCCCTACATAGTATTTTTTGCCCATTTTGAGCACAGCTCAGAGTAATTCTTCACAGATGCATCATGGCTATCATTCCTTCCAGGCTTCCTTCACGTATACATCTCAAAAGCTACTGTCCATAACCTTCCCGGGCTACCGCCAAGCTCCCAGGATTTGCAAAAATAAATTTCCAAGAGCTTTTCGATCTCCCCTCCCTCCTAGTCAAAAATCTTGCTTGCTCTCTCCCGGTCTAGCCCAGATTTGCCTGCAAGCCCTCCACCTTGCTGGAGGCAGAGCAGCAGCTGGTGTGAGCCAGCCCAGCTCTATCGCCATCACACTGGAAAGAGCAAAGAGAGCAATGAGGTATCTGCATTGCTCCGTTGCTCCAAGAACTGCCCCTCACCTCCCCACCTCATCGTTAAGCACAGCAGGTAACAGCACCTACACACCACCGACTAGCACCAGCTGAGCAAAACAGATGCAGGCTGTAAACGCACCCTGAGCTGGCCCGGCCCGTGGCATGTCACACACTAGGGGACTGTCAGGTCTTGGTATCACACGTAAAAGTTTCACCTTCAGGAGGCAGCATATCCACAGTTAGCAGCAAGGCACGGCCCCAATCAACACCAGCTGCAGTGCCAGGGTGGCCCCTGGAAGGACCAGGGCCATCTCCATGGGAGATGCCCCAGCC